ACACAGTCTGCTGAACATAATACCACACAAACATTAGATGTTGCCATGGTTTAATTGCACATAAACATGTAAGCATTCACAGTGCAGAGAGGAAAAAGTATGTGAACCTTTGGACTTAATAACTGGTTGACCCTCCTTTGGCAGCAATAACCTCAACCAACCGTTTCTGTAGTTGCAGATCAGACCTGCACAACGATCTGGAGTCATTTTGGACCACTCCTCTTCACAAAACTGTTTCAGTGTAGCAATATTCTTGGGATGTCTGGTGTGAATCACTCTCTTAACGTCATGCCACAGCATTTCAATCGGGTTGAGGTCAGGACTCTGACTGGGCCACTCCAGAAGGCGTATTCTGTGCTGTTGCAGCCATTGTTTTGTTGAATTACTTGTATGCTTTGGGTCATTGTCCTGTTGCATCACCCATCCTCTGCGGAGCTTCAGTTGGCAGACAGATGGTCGTACGTTTTCCTGCAAAATGTCTTGATAAACTCTGGAATTCATTTTCCCATCAATGACAACAATCCGTCCAGGCCCTGAGGCAGCAAAGCAGCCCCAACCATGATGCTCCCTCCGCCATGTTTCACAGTGGGGATGAGGTTTTGATGTTGGTGTGCTGTGCCTTTTTTTCTCCACACATAGTGTTGTGTGTTCTTCCCAAACAACTCAATCTTGGTTTCATCTGTCCACAGTATATTTTGCCAGTAGTGCTGTGGAACATCCAGGTGCTCTTTTGCGAACTTCAAACGTGCTGCAATATTCTTTTTGGACAGCAATGGCTTCCTCCGTGGTGTCCTCCCATGTACTCCATTCTTGTTTCATGTTTTCCTTATTGTAGATGTGTCAACAAAAATGTTAGCATGTGCCAGAGATTTCTGTAGGTCTTTAGCTGACACTCTGGGATTCTTCTTTACTCATGCAGCATTCTGCGCTGTGCTCTTGCAGTCATTTTTACAGGACGACCACACCTAGGGAGAGTAGCAACAGTGCTAAACTTTCTCCATTTGTAGACAGTCTGTCTTACCGTGGACACATGAACATCAAGGCTTTTGGAGATACTTTTGTAACCTTTCCAGCTTCATGCAAGTCAACAATTCTTGATCGTAGGTCTTCTGAGAGCTCTTTTCTGCAAGGCATGGTTCACATCAGACAGTGCTTCTTGAAACCAATAAACCCAAATTAGGTGTGTGTGTTTTTTAAGGGCAGGACAGCTGTCAGCAACACATCCAATATCATCACACTGATTGGAGTCAAGGTTGGCTCACTCCTGGCTCCAATTAGCTCTGGGAGAAGTCATTAAGCTAGGGCCTCACATACTTTTTCCTCCCTGCACTGTGAATGTTTACATGTTATGTGCAATTAAACCATGGCAACATCTAATGTTTGTGTATTATTATGTTCAGCAGACTGTGTTCTTCTATTGTTGTGACTTAGATGACATTCAGAGCACATTTTATGCCCAATTGATGCAAAACTCCACGTAATCCCAAGGGGTTCACATACTTTTTCTTGCAACTGTATATATATATATACACAGGCACACAAGACAAACATATATATATTATTATACAGGATTCATGTAGCGCCAACAGTTTGCTCAGCATTTAACAATATAAGGGAGACAGTACAATTACAATACATTTCAGTACAGAAGGAATAGGAGGGCCCGGCTCGTGGAGCTTACAATCTAAAGGAAGGGGGAGGTTATACAAAAAGTGATAGCTGCGGGGGATGATCTGGTGGAGGTGATTCTAGTACAGTTCTTAAGTGGAAGTGGGGTAGGCTTCCCTGAATAAGTGAGTTTTCAAAGATTGCCTAAATATATATATATATTTGGACACAGGCACAATTTTACTTTTTTTCAGGTATTTACAAAGACATATTCAAGCTATAGTTATACAGTGGATATGGGCTGAAAGTGCACACTCTTAGGTTTAATTTGAGGGTATGTACATCCAAATTTGGTGGAATGGTTTAGGAATTACAGCTCTTAAGAGTAGTCATCCCCCCTTTTTCAAGGGTCCAAAAACAATTGAATCAAAAGCTGTTTCATGGCCAGGTGTGGGCTACTCCTTCATTTTGACTTCATCAATTAAGCAGGTAAAAGGTCTGGAGTTGACTCTAAGTGTGGTATTTGCATTTGGAATCTATTGCTGTGAACCTACATCATGCGTTCAAAGGAGCTGTCCATGCAAGTGAAACAGGCCATTGTAAGACTTCAAAAAAACTAAACAAATCCATCAGAGAGATAGCAGCAACATTAGGAGTGGCCAAATCAACAGTTTGGTACATTCTGAGGAAAGAAGAACGCACTGGTGAGCTCAGCAACATAAAAAGGCATGGACATCCATGGAAGACAACGGTGGTGAATGATCGCAGGATCCTCTCTATGGTAAAGAAAAACCCATTCACAACATCCAGACAAGTGAAGGACACTCCCCAGGAGGTGGACGTATCATTGTCAAAGTCTACAATCAAGAGAAGACTTCACGAGAGCAAATACAGAGAGTTCACCACAAGGTGCAAAACATTCATAAGCCTGAAGAATAGAAAAGCTGGATTAGACTTTGCCAAAAAAAATCTAAAAAAGCCAGACAAGTTCTGGAAAAGCATTCTTTGGACGGATGAAACTGTAATCTGTACCAGGATGACGGCAAGAAAAAAGCGTGGACAAGGCTTGGAACAGCTCATGATCAAAAGCACACAACTTCATCTGTAAAACATGGTGGAGGCAGCGTGATAAAATGGACATGCATAGTGTCCAGTGGCGCTGGGTCATTGGTGTTTATTGAGGATGTGACCGAAGACAAAAGCAGCCGGATGAATTCTGCAGTGTTTAGAGATATACTGTCAGCCCAGATTCAGCCAAATGCAGCAAAGTTGATTGGACGACTCGTCACAGTACAGATGAACAATGATCCAAAACACACTGTAAAAGCAACCCAGGAGCTTTTGAAGGAAAAGAAGTGGAATATTCTGCAATGGCCGAGTCAGTCACCTGATCTCAACCCAATTGAGGATGCATTTCACTTTCTGAAGGCAAAACTAAAGGCAGAAAGACCCACAAAGAATAACGGAAGACAGCTGCAGTTAGAGCCTGGCAAAGCATCAGGAAGGAGGAAGACCAGTCTTTGGTAATGTCCATGGGTTCCAGACTTCAGGGAGTCATTGCCAGTAAAGGATTCTCAACAAAATCTAAAAAATGAACATTTTATTTATGATTATATTCATCTGTCCAATTACATTTGAGCCCCTGAAAATAGAGGGACTGTGTATAAAAATGTTTGAAGTTCCTAAAATTTGTACTTGATATTGATATTCAACCCCTTGAATTAAAGCTGAAAGTCTGCACTTCAGATTCATTTGGATTATTTTGTTTTAATTTATTCTGGTGGCATACAGAGACAAAACTATGAAAATTGTGCCTCTGTCCAAATATATATGGACCTAACTGATATATGGATAAGATGCCCATACACTGAAAAAAGTGCATGACTTTCTGATGAAGAAGGTCCATATTATGAAGGACAATTTCATAGTACAAGTCACCATATAAATTAGATGTTTTAATACATTGAGGGCCAGTTCACATCACAAAACGCGTTCCAGATCTTTAATGGATCCATTTCCGCATGCTTGTTTTTAGCACATTTTTTATGTGTTTTTTTATGCATTCCAGATTTTTTTTCTTCTTTTTAACTTGTTTTTTTTTTTAGCACTGTACTGTGGTGCAGTGCATTTTTAATGTATTTTTTGATGCCTGTAGGTGTATTTTTTTGTGTATTTTACTGCATTCCAGTACAGTTCTGTGCAGGAAAAATGTTCTACTTTTTTTCTGGAACTGGAACACACAGGGACTGTAAGCACCGGAGTGAACTATACCATTGAAAGCCATGCAACCTACTTTCTATGCGTTTTGGATGCAGAAAAAAATCACCAATACACATGTAGTGTGAACTAGCCATAAAAAAAACAGTGGGGGGGGGGGAGGTTAGAATGGTGGTAGGCTGTCCAACATTCATGAATTTTTGTATTCCAAGTGTAAGGGTAACTAATTTGAGGCCTGCGTCTCTTCCAGTGCATGCTTCTTGTCTGATACCAAGAGGTAGGAAGGAGGAGCAATTAGCGGAGAATAGTAGGAAGGTACTTCTGTTTTGGGAGGGCAATAGGAGGAGTAGAAGCAAAGCGAAAAAATAAAAATTTAAAATACAACAATAGAATATAAAAATAAAGGGGGAGGAACAGAGGGTGGATTGAAGAGGAGACAGTTCTGTAAGAAGCGGGTGGGAGAGAGGATAGGTTTGTTCCCCAGATGCCTATTATTCATCGATCACACACCGGCGCAGGGTGCACCGGGTGGCCGCAGGAGTGAAAATGATTTCTTTTTAGCATTAATAAATACTGTACTGACCATAGGCATTGCTTATTTTAAGAAATGTGAAGAAATTAGAGCTTTTATCCTCGTTCAATTACTGGTAGTACCCTCCACAGTCTTTTCAACACTTCTCTGAATTTGGCAGCAAATAACAAGCGACTGCTGGAAGATAAACATTTTGGCTGATGATTCTAGCATCCTTGATGTTTTATTTATATTCTCATTCCTTGTATTGAAGGCAGCTACTGTGTGAGATTGAGGGATTATTGTCTGCGTAGCACGCTCCTAGCTGTGTCTCTGTGCTCTTTATGTGTAGTCCAGAAGTGTATGTTTAACTCCCGCTGGGGTTTAAACTTTACATTTCCAATGCACAATGGGTTATTCCAGAGTCCATCAAGACTAATACAACTACAAAGAGATAATACTTCGAAAAAGTGGATACTAGGTTTTAAAGTGCTTGCACTAAATTTACATTTTTGATTGCTTAAACTCATTTTTTTTTTTTTGCTGTTTTCTATGATGACTGTTTTTCACAAGTCAGACTGACTGTTTTCACATGACGTCCTCCCATTCTCACCGCGCATGCATGGCTCAGGGAGCGCGCAGCTTGGCGATCGGCGGTGCGCTGTGTTCCTCGGACACAGCGGATCACCGATCACAGAAAGAGCCAAAGATGTTGGCTCGGTCATGTGATCAGCTGTGTCCAATAACAGCTGATCACATGTAAACAGAGAATGCCGGTTATCAGCATTTCTCTCCTCTCCAGCTGTCATGCTGACAGCTCGAGAGGAGAGCCGGTAATCAGCTTTCCGTGGAGGGGACATGTACACTGATCATCAGAGTACTGATGATCAGTGTGCCCTGATGATCAGTGTAGCCCCAGCAGTGCCACCTGCCTACCAGTGCACATCAATGCCACATATCAGTGCCCATCTGAGCTGCCTTTCAGTGTCACCCATCAGTGCCAGTCAGTGCCACCTATCAGTGCCAATCAGTGCTGCCTATCAGTGCCAGTCAGTGTCGTCTATCGGTGCCAGTCAGTGCCGCCTAACAGTGCCAGTCAGTGCCTCCTATCAGTGCTGCCCATCATTGCCATATATCAGTGCCATGTATCAGTGCTGCCTTTCAGTGCCCATCAGTGTCCATCAGTGATGCCTGTCAATGCCCATCAGTGCCACCTACCAGTGCCTCCTCATCAGTGCCACCTATCAGTGTCCATCAGTGCAGCCTATCAGTGCCCATCACTGCAGCCTCATTAGCGCATATCAGGGAAGGAGAAAAATCACTTATTTACAAAATTTTATAACAAAAACTAAGAAAAAACTTTTTTTTCCAAAATTTTCAGTGGTTTTTGGTTTAAGAAAAAATTAAATTCCCAGAGGTGATTAAATACCACCAAAATAAAGCTTTATCTGTCACAAAAAAATGATAAAAATGTCATATGGGTACAGTGTGACCGCGCAATTGTCATTCAAAGTGTGACAGCACAGGAAATTGGCCTGGGTAGGAAGGGGGTATAAGTGCCCTGTAGGCTATCGGTTAAAGTGGTTGTAAACCCTTACATATCCAGCGGGTATAAAAAAAAGAATCCCCCCCCTTTAAAATAATCACATTTTGTTGCTTTGCAGCCTGAAACAAAGACACGCACAGTTTTTTTTATCCAGATGTATTTACTCAATGCAACTGATAACATCCAAATGAGAGATAGAACACCAACATGTCAGAAAAGAAAATAATTAAAAAACAGAATCACTGAGTTGGTAAAAGGATCACCCCCCTCCTAAAAATTACTTGTAAGCTCAATCAGGTGTAGCTAATCACCTTCTCAATGACATACACAGCCATTTGACTTTCATCTGTGATCAGCTGTGGTCATTTCGATTAGCTCAGCATAAAAAGAGCTTTCCTGGAGCACTTCAATCCTTTAGTGCATCTGAAGCAAAGAATCAAACTATGGGTGGCAAGGCGCTGTCAAAAGAGCTCCAGGATAAAGTTGTGGACAGGCACAAGTCAGGAGATGGATGCAAAAAATTTCAAAGGCTTTATCAATGTCTAGAAGCACAGTTAAATCTGTTATTAAGAAGTGGCAGGTATTTGGTACACCACAGACCCTCCCTGGATCAGGATGTGGCTCCAAACTGGATGAAAGAGCCAGGAAGAAACTGGTCACAGAGGCTACCAAGAGGCCTACAGCAATTCCGTAGCAGGTGCAGGACTTGATGACAAAGAGTGGTCATTGTGTGCATGTGACAACAATATCACACATTCTCCACAAATGTGGCTTGTATGGGAGGGTTGCAAGAAAAAAGCTGCTCCTCAACAAAGGCCAAATGCAGTCACCACTGAGCTTTGCCAAAGTGCACCTTGAAGATTCTGGGGCCACATGGAAAAAGGTGTTCTGGTCAGATGAGACTAAAAATTAATGAATTGGCCTCAACACTAAATGACATGTCTGGTGGAAGTCCAATACAGCTCACCATCCAAATAACACCACTCCTACAGTAAATCATGGAGGTGGGAATATCCTGTTATGGGGGGTTCTCTGCAGCAGGGACTGGTGCACGTCAGGAGAGAAGGAAAAAACAGATGGGTCAAAATACCTTCAAATTCTACAGGAAAATCTGCTGCTCTCAGCCAGAAAGTTGTCAATGGGAAGAAGGTTTACCTTCCAACATGACAATGACACAAAGCACACAGCAAAAATGACACACAGTGGTTGAAGGAGAAAATGGTGAATGTTCTTGCATGGCCTAGTCAGAGCCTAGACTTAAACCCTATTGACAATCTATGGAATGACTTGAAGACTGCAGTCCACAAATGGTCACCATCAAATTTGCTGAACTTGAGCAGTTCTGCAAAGAAGAGCCGGCAAATATTGCAAAGTCTAGATGTGCAAAGTTAGTAGACAAATCCCAACAGACTAAATGCTGGAATTAAAGCAAAAGGTGGCTCAACAAAATACTAACACAAAAGGGTGATCCTTTTTCCAACTTAGTGATTATGTTTTTTCAGTTTTTTGTTTTATTTTTTTTTCTGACATGTTGGTTTTATATCTTTTATTTTGATGTTATAAGTTGCATTGAGTAAATACAGCTGGATAAAACAAAAACCATGTATATCTTCATTTTACGCTGAAGAGCATCAAAATGTGATTATTTTAAAGGGTACGATTCTTTTTTATACCCACTGTACCTAGTGAAGTGACTGACCTTTGGGTGATACGCAGAGATGAAACAAATCCTCCTACATAAGTTATATCTGTTTATCTACAGCCATTTGTCCCCTACATCCATTCTAAGTGCAGAATTTACACAGACTCTTTCAGCTCTACAAAGCAGGAGGTGAGGAGCCGGAGTTGCACTCGGTGAGAACTCTGAGAGCTGATTGGAAGGAAGGGACACACCCCCCACACACAGAACAGAGCTGAGGCTGTCAATCATAGACTGTGCCCTCCCCGTCACCATTTTTCTCTTGGTGTCAGGAAAACTTGTCAGAAGTGACTCATGCGAATATCAGAGGAAGGAAGCAGACAGAAATGACACTTAGTGCTCTGATTGAGACAAGTACACACTATAGAGGGACATGCTTTGTTCATAGTTCATGTCTGAGGTTTACAACCAGTTTAATTAATTTAAATAAAGTTTAAACACCTATCCCTTCTTTATGTAGCTGGTAACGGATATTGATTACTGTCCTTCCTTTGATGCATTTTATTGATGTCCAGAGAAAGCCATAATAAAACGAAAGAGAATTTTTGTTCGACTGTTTGCACTCTACACAATATAGTACATCATCAAACATCCGTGTCAAATGTACTCAGATGGATTGGAGTTTGGCTGACTTCTATGCATGTCTAATGACAAAGCAATGTTGTATAGGGCTAGCCCAGCGTTATTAAGCAGCAGTCGGTCGATTCGAAGCAAACATTGAATAGTCACCAGAGAATCGTAGGAGGATCAGCTCATTCTGATCAATCAAACTCCAGACCATTATTTTTTCTTAAAGTGGAACTACACCACACCTAAGGATCACAAACCAAAAATGCTATTTAGTTCATTTTTAATATTCAAAACAAACTCCCCCATCCATCCATGTCTCCTTGCTTGATTTTGCTGAGAAATCACTTTGAAAAGCACTGGCCAACATCTTGAATAAGGGCAGGGGATTCATGTAATCTTCTCTTCCTGGAATCTATTTGCCCTTAGCTCAAGCATGTAAGAGGGAAGGTGTGTTTAGCTGAGAAAACCCCTTCTCCCCTCCTGAAGACTCCTGGGATATATGACATCATTTACCTAGGCATGGAAACCAGGAAGCAGCTGAAGAAATGTAAAAAAAAAGTTAACGAGTTAATATAATATACCTTCCTATCTATTTACTACTGCTAGCAGTATAAGGATTAACTGCTTCCGCGCCGCCCTATAGCCGAAACACTGCTATAGGGTGGCAGGGGTGCACAAAATCATGTGTGTGTGTATATATATATATATTTATATATATATATATATATATATATATATATACATACATATGTGTGTGATTTTTCAATTCCGGGTAGGGAACGTGCCACCATTCGTGGCTTCGGCTCTCAGTCACCGGGTCCCGGCCGGTGATTCCCCACCGGCACCCGGCGATCTCCGAGGATTTCCGATGATTTCCGATGGGGGGAAGACTTTTATGTAAACAATACAGATCTCTCCCCTTTCAGCTCTTGCACACTGCTTTCTATGGCTCTGCATAACAGAGCCATACAAAGCGGGGTGCTTGCAGTGAAACACAGCACTCAGCTCGATAGTAAAACAGCACACAATTAACCCTTTGATCACCTCACATGTTAACCCCTTCCTGCCCAGTGCCATTAGTACAGTGTCAGTGCTTTTTATCAGCACTGATCACTGTATTGGTGTCACTGGAGATGTCACTGACACCAAGTCAGTTCCCCCCCAGTGTCAGAATGCCCACCGCAGTCCCGCCGTCCCGCTATAAGTCACTGATCACCGCCATTTCTAGTAATAGAAAAAAAAAATTCCAGTATCTTTACCGCCATTTGTAAACGCTATAACTTTCATGTAAACCAATGATTTACACATATTGGAATTTTTATTTAGCAAAGACATGGAGCAGAATACATTTTTTCCTACATTTTATGCCGAAATTAGATTTTTAACATTTTTTTACTGGACATGTTTAACCGCTTCCCAACTGCACTATAGCCGAAAGACGGCCACAGCACGGTTGTCTAGTTCTGGGAGGGTGTCCATGGACGTCCTCCCTGAATGCGCCCCAGCGGCGCGCACCCGGCGCTGTCAGTGATAGGGTAAAAGGGCAATCACAGCTGCCTTTTACCATGTGATCAGCTGTACTTTCCTCACACTGTCACAGCATAAGGAAAGTACGATAACTGGCAAATGTGACAGGGGAGATCTGCACTAATAATCAGGGCACTGATGATCAGTGCCCAGCAGTGCCGCCCGTCAGCGCCGTCTGTCAGTGCCTCCAGTCGGTGTTATGAGTCAGTGTCGCCTATCAGTGCCTCCTCATCAGTGCTTCCTATCAGTGCCACCTCATCAGCTTCAATTACCATCTCTATGCTGATGACACGCAAATCTATCTGTCTACCCCTACCCCTCACCTCACCCCTTCAGTCTCCACCCGCATCGCAAGTGACATATCGGCTTGGATGTCACTCCACTTCCTCAAACTCAACCTTTCCAAAACTGAGCTCCTAGTATTTCCCCCTGACCATGCCCCCTCCACTGACCTCACCATAAATATCGATAACACAATCATTAGTCCATCCCCTCATGCCAGGGTACTAGGTGTAATCCCATCTGTCCTTCCATCCCCAGATCCAGTCGCTGACAAAATCATGTAGACTTCACCTTTGCAACATCTCCAAGATACTCCCGTTCCTAACCTCGGAAACCACTAAGCAACTTATTCACTCCCTTGTCATATCACGCCTCGACTATTGTAACTCCCTCATTGGCCTACCTCATCGCAGGCTATCCCCCCTTCAGTCTATCATGAACGCTGCTGCCAGACTCATCCACCTCACTAACCGCTCT